GGGTTTTGGTAGTAAGAGTTAGTACGTTGGTTTGACTGAATTTCAGATTGAAACTCGAAGAAGAAGAAGAAGAAGAAGAAGAAGAAGAAGAAGAAGAAGAAGAAGAAGAAGAAGAAGAAGAAGAAGAAGAAGACATATTGCAGAAATTGTAGATAAATTGTAGATTATTTGTATTCTGATTGTAGATGCTTTATTTTCTGTTTTCACAAATAAAAAACGGCTAAAACTTCTACAAATAATCTGAAAAAACGCAAGTACGTCGAAAATACCAATTAAGCTATAATTGAATGGGAATTGGGATATTAAAATTCAATGTACCCAATTTGTAGATATTTTGTAGATAAACTATAGATTATTTGTATTCTAATTGTAGATGCTTTGTTTTCTGTTTTTACAAATCAAAAACGACTAAAACTTCTACAAATCTTCTGCAAAAAACGCAATTATGTCGAAAATCCCAATTAAACTACAATCGAATGGGAATTGGGATATTAAAATTTAATATACCCAGTTTGTAGATATTTTGTAGATGAATTGTAGATTATTTGTATTCTAATTGTAGATGCTTTGTTTTTTGTTTTCACAAATCCAAAATGACTAAAACTTCTACAAAATCTTCTGCAAAGAACGCAATTATGTCGAAAATACCAATTAAGCTACAATTGAATGGGAATTGGAATATTAAAATTCAATGTACCCAGTTTGTAGATATTTTGTAGATAAATTGTAGATTATTTGTATTCTGATTGTAGATGCTTTGTTTTCTTTCACAAATCAAAAACGACTAAAACTTCTACAAAATCTTCTGCAAAAAACGCAATTATGTCGAAAATTCCATTTATGAGATTGGACGATCTTTATGATTTAAATGCTTACAAAAAGCTGGCAGAAGAATCAGGAGTGTCTATACCAACCTATCAAAAGATTTAAATAGATAGTTTCCAGGTTCCCATCTTCACCTGTAAACTAGAATTTAAAAATACTTATTTATTTAGAGATGCTGGATTTATAATACAATCTTGTAAATAATTATCTGCGCCTGTCCATATAGGATTGGTAGAATGAGTATATAGAAGGATTTGATTATTTGATCATTTCCCTCTATCCAGAAATTGATGATGGTGATCAAGTTGGAATTCATTCAATTGGATGTACAGAAAATGCCTATGGTCATACATGATACATCACAAATGATTATTATACTAGCAACTAGACATGTAAATAAGGCACAGTTAGAGCAAAAGACTTGAAAAGAACAACAACATCATGGTTACATCTTGACGATGAATGTTGTACAACACATCATTAGCATCGCATAATTTCCAACAGCATAGGACATATATTATGGAACTCAACTGCCAGGACGAAAGAAAGCATCAAATTTGATGAACATTTCAGGGATTTTATTGAACAAAATATTTAGGAGAAAATATACGGAAATCCTTTAATTAAGGAGTAAAAAATGTCTCATTAATTATACCCTTAATTAATTATGGTATAGAATTGGTAATTTGGTATACTAAGTGTAATTAAGTCAAACCTTAAACATTGAGGGTAATAAGATTTTTTATGTGGCATAGGAATGTAAAAATTCCTTAAAATTACGCTCTTAACCGTTTTTGCCAAGATATTTACGCCCGCCTAGTTGTAATCCTTCGTAGCCGGCGCCTGACACCAATATATACTCAATGTATAATAATTGTATACAATATATACAAAGTGTGGTTAAATTCTTACGGTGACACTTTTTTTCTTTTGCTTCTTATTCCTCTATTCCGGGCTAATTCCTCCGCTGAGAAAATATTTTGAAAAAAAAGAGAGAGAACACTACTAGTAGTAGCAGTAGACCACTCTAAAATGTACTATGCTCCATTGACCTTTTCAAAATTAAACTTGAAACATATACATTATATAAAAATGAAAAAAAATACATATTCATATATAGAGTTTACATAAAACCAAATAATATAATCTTAAGAATAATAAATTAAACTAAAAATATATCAATTATAGTTAAATGATAGAAGATAGTATAAAGTGATACATGTCTTGGATAGGGTGCGATTAAATTATTTGAAACTTAGCTAGCGTTTGGCCATAAATTCTCAGATTTATCTTAAAAGAATTTGATTTGGATGTTTGGTTTGAAGATGAAAATCTGTCAATCTTGTGTATCTGGTGATAAAAACTATCAAAAATACCCAACAAAACCAAACAAACAAACTTGCTAATCTTGTATATGCAGAACCTTTATCGATGACATTCATTATCACTATCACAAACCATAGTCCTGAAAATAGATAAGTTTGGCACATTATTATCATTTTTATAATGAACTCCATAATATGCTATCCTAAAATTCACAACCTGATATTTTAATATCAACTGCTAATAACACAATTACTAGCCTCTATAATATATTCGTCAAATTGCAATAATATTACAAGATTCAATAGTCTAAAAGAAAATGATAGTAATTAGCTGGTGGTTAGTTGGGTCATAAAAGAAGGTGAGTTCTTTTATAAAATATAAAAATTTGGGGTAATTTTGAAATTATTAAAAAATCCAACGGTGATATTTTGAACCAAATACAGGTCTAGAGCTGGTTTTGAGAATTTTGTTTTCAAAATTTGCCAAAATATGGATAAAATCTATAAACAAACATGTTTGCCAATTTTTTTTCTAGAAAAAACTTGACAAAATCTATGATCAAATTGGGCTTAAAGTGACGTGAAAAAAGCTTGTAGACATATGACACACGTCTCCTACTGCTAATGTATTCCTTTGGGTATATCCTTCCTTGCTTACTTAGAGAAGAAAAAGAAAAACGCATAAAAGAAGAAAACAGAAAGGTAATACTAGCATGCATGCTTACTGCTGCCTTTTAGCTCAGGTGAATATGTCTCCAATGGGTCGGACAAAATAAACCATTCTTTAGTTGGCTATGAAAGATATAGGTATAGCCCCATAGCCTAACCTTCCGCATGGACATGAAAGCAACTCCTCTCTGTCCTTCTTTTATTTTTTCCGTACGCAAGACAGAGATACTATATCAACATATAATAATATTCTTTTTTTTCTTTTCAAAATATGTTTTTTTAACCACAGGATATTCCATATCTACTGGTGTGACTAATTTACATTAAAAGAGAAAATATTTCTTATTAGAAATTTCTGAAAAAACTTAGCAAACAGAACTATTTAACATTTAGCCACTTTACAATGCGAAATAAAATAATCCTAGTTAAAACATGAAAAACTCCATGAACATTTATTGTAGTGGACATTTATCAGCAGTTCGAACTTCAAATTTGAACTTTTACTAGTTCAAACTCCAATACATTTTTCAAGTTTTAACTAGATGTATTTGTGGCTAAATAATTTTATTTTCCACATAAAAATGATTATTTTCTTAGTTACATTTGAAATGATGACGATGAGAATACATTGATGGCTTATATTATATATTATATAGTATATAAGGATGATTATATTTAAATATCGTACTAACATACAGTAGTGCAGAGAGAGTAAAACAATATGGGGTAGGAGGGAGTAGGCGAGTGAGAGAGGTGAGTTGAAAAAGGAAGCGAAATGCATAGATAAGGCAGAGAGCTGCTTTTCGTAATGGGTGTAAGCTGAGCTGACACAACGGGTGAAAGGCCCAAGAGAACGGTTTCAGAGAGAGGGAAGGGACCCCTCAACAAAACACCGGTTGCTCGCTCTCCTTTTTTGTGGAAATAGCATCGGTTAGCTAAATTTCGGACTGGTAAGTATTTGCAAAATTATTGAAAAATATTCACTATTTTGCTGTAGCACAAAAAGTTTTATTGGAGATTGGTGCACTTGTATATGAACTTCCAGCATATTATGCTGGAACTCCAACACACGGAAAGTTCCAGCATAATATACTAGAGATTGGAGCACCTGTGTGTAAACTTCTAGCAAATTATGCTGGAAGTCCAGTATATTTTGCTGGAATATTTTTTGAATTTTAAACAGTGTTTTCGTTCAAATTTATCTTTACATAAAAAATGGCTAAATTTTAATTAATTTTAAAGATTTAACTATTTTTCAATTTCCATGGCTTTTTTGAATTTTACCCCTCCTTCTTGGCTTTAGCTTAGTTTTGAAGTGATGTTCTGTGAGAGTGAAGTCTCTCTCAGTCTCATATCTTTTCGAAATGGAAAATTGAAAAGACTCGAGGTTGACTAGTCTCTTTTCCCCATTCTTTTGTTTAACTTCCTCTTCCGGTGATTTTATTTTATGTCTCACACAACTTACACTAATTGTGTGAGGCCTCTTTTAATCTCATATATTTGTGGATCCATATCTTACACCTCTGGGTCCACAAAATTCTGGGACCCACGAATGATTTTATTTTATATCTCACACAACTCACACTAGTTGTGTGAGGCCTCTTTTACTCGTTTTGAAAGTAAATTCTGTGTTACGAGGCCTTAAAAACCTCTTTTTGTCTCACCTCGATTTGTGTGCGCAATCCGATCGTAATTCCGGAAAGCCTTTATGTGGAAATTTAAGAAATAATAATTTTTGGAGTTTAAAGTGATTTTTAGTTGACTTTGGTAAATGTTTTGAGTAGACGGACCCGGACCCGTGTTCCGACGGTCCCAAAAGGTCCGTAATAAAATATGGGACTTGGGCGTATGCCCGGAATCGAATTCCGAGGTCCCTAGCTCGAGAAAGGAATTTTTGATGAAAAGTTGTAAGACTGAAATTCTAAGGATTTAAAGAAATTGATTAATGTTTGATCTCGTTGGTATCGGGCCCGTATTTTATTTTCGGAGCCCGATACAAGTTTAATATAATATGTGAGATAGCGTACTAGTTAAATAGTTAGTAGGGATAATTTATAATTACTTAGGCTAGGGAGCAATATAATAACTTTGGAATAATAGGCACGAAAGATTTGGGCCAAGCCCATTTTACGTTGCTGCTAGGTTTGAAGTAGAGTAAATAAGAAAAATTGTTCTTTTAGTTCTAATAGATACGCAAATACCTAAAGAAGAGAGAAAAGGGCTTCAAGTAGTCGCCGACGCACGCAAGCAGGAAGAAAAGGCTATAGAGGGTCTTTGGTGGAGTTGACCAGGTATATTGTTAAATTCATCCCATAACTATATTTTGGACTAAACAAAGGAGAAATAATTAAGTGAAGATGCTTCAGTTATGCATGTAAAGAGTCAGCAATTTTTTTTTCTTTTTTTTTTTTCTCTTTTGTTGATGTTTCATCTATCACGTTATGCCTTTAACAAACAGTGTATAATATTGTACCTTTCAATAGCAAAGCAGGTATAAGTTTTTATTTATTTTATTGGAGCTCCTTTTCTGATAACAAAGTAATTATAATAAAAGAAAAAGTTATTTCTCTGAATTCATTTACAACGATGACAAGAGTTGGAACAAAGTAATCTTGGTAATATTTATACTTGTGAAGCTTTGGCAGTAGAATTTACTAATAATAAAAAGGAAAAAAAAAAACCTTACTACTATGAAAAAGTTCTTTAAGATTGTATTTTGAAAATAACTTATTTGCACATGGTAGGGACTTTTTTTAAATTAATGAGTTTTACATATGTGAGTGATTAAAGGATTAGTTGAATATATAGTGAGCCAATTATTGAATTTTGTACGAGAAGTGTGAGATAATTCCAACTAGCATATTTGACATCGTTAATTAATATTTGCATAGATTGAGGTCGTTTGGTTGGTGTTCTTGACGTTGCAAGATTGGAGAAACTCTCTGTTAGCGAGGTAAGTGTTTGGTCTAATCTTAGCTTGATGGAATAGGAGTCGTGGTCTTATTTGCTATGTGTTATTTGATGAGTACGACGTATAGGTGTGGTGACGAGTACCTATACGTTGGTGTCAAGTATGCCCGTGAGTCTTATACTATGATTGTTGTGACTCCGTTATGTATTATCCATGCATAATATGATGTTATTAATGTTGAACAAGGCTTATGGAAGTATTCTTGGTAATGTGACATTGTAGAGCATTGGCTCCAGTTGAGGTTTCATTTGTGAAGTTAATTGTGCGTATAAGTTTGGTTATAGCTGATTCCCTTGCCGGAATGTGTTATTCTTGTTGTTGGTTCCCTTGCCGGGATATTGTTGTTTACTTATTGTTCCCTTGCTGGGATTCTTTTTGTGATTGGTGTTGATTTGTGTATTGGGATCGGGTTGCACGCCACAACAATGTTATATTATGGGATCGGTTGCACGTCGCAACAAGGAGTAATAAGGGAGGACACGAGGGGTCGGGTTGCACGGCGCAACAGTGATATATGAGTTGGATCGGGTTGCACGCCGCAACGGTGATATATGAGTTGGATCGGGTTGCACGCCGTAACATTATTCTAAGATTTGGATCGGGTTGCACGCCGCAACAATGTTATATGATTTGGATCGGGTTGCGCGCCGCAACAATAAAGAATAAAAGTGGACATTGATTCGTTACTGTTTCTTTATTCTGGCTAATGTGAAATTTAAGATGTTCTTTATGCTTTTCTCCTGAGATTCTGTTGGTTCTTGATATTCCCCACAGCATGTTCCCCTTCCCATCTTTAACTGCTAGTTCCTGTTATTATTACTTGCCGTATATGCTTTAACTGCATAGGTTTATATGGTAGTCCTGTCCTAGACTCGTCACTACTTCGCCGAGGTTAGGCTTGACACTTACCAGCACATGGAGTCAGTTGTGCTGGTTAGGCTTGACACTTACCAGCACATTGTCAGTTGTGCTGATACTACACTCTGCACTGTGTGCAGATCTCGGTACCGGAGCTTTTGGACCTTAGCGAGGTTGCTGCCTTCAGTCCAGCGGAGACCCGAGGTAGTCCTGCAGACGTCCGCAAGCCCTGGCGTCCCCTTCTATATTTTATATTCTGTTTTCATTTACTTCAGAGACAGATTGTATCTTTCTTTCCAGACAACTCTTTGTAGTAATCGTAGATGATCCGTGATATTGTGACACCAGTTCTGGGTAGAGATGTACTTTGTATTTTTTTGTACTATTATTTGGCTAAGTTATCAGATTTCGTCTTCCGCATTTCTTTTGTTATTATTATTATTCCGCTGTTGATCGTATGTTGATTTAAAATTGTTAAAAAGTTAAGAAAAAGGGGTGTTAAGATCTATAGTACTCGGCTTGCCTAGCTTTCACGAGTAGGCGCTATCACGACTCCCGAGGGTGGAAAGTCCGGGTCGTGACATACACATCTGGGTCCACAAAATTTTGGGACCCACACAGTTGTAAGACAAAAAAGAGGCCTCACACAACTAGTGTCTGTCGTGTGAGACACAAAATAAAAATTTCCTTCCTCTTCCGATTTCTTTTATTTTTCCTCTTTAAATTACGTCTTCAAGTTTATTCAAATACCTATGTTAATGGATATACTATTATTTTAAAGATATCCAATAGAGGTAATTTCACGTATGGTTGTTTAATTTTGTTCAACGTATAGATAAAGTTATAAAATTATTTTTGATATCGTTAAAATCATCATTTATTGATTGTATTAATAAATTCATAAAATTACTTTCTGTATCACTAACATCACTAAACTAAATATGTTAATTTCCTAAAAAATACAACTCCACTGAAATTCAAAATTCTGGCACCGAAAGGTGAACTTTTAATTGATAAACTTGAAATAGCGTTTTAACTTTTAAACTTTGACTATATAAACAAATTTAACAATTGCGAGTTATTTACGAGCTAATTACAAATAAATGTCTATAGAATACATGCATTGATGACCGACAAATACTATTCAAGTAATATCTAAATCTTTATAGGGAATAATATTTTTTGTTTCATAAACCAAATGACTTACTACAAATTAAAGTTATAAATATTCTCGAACAAAGAGGTACAACCTATTGCCTGTGCAATATATATAATTTATAAAATCATCACCAAAATCATTGTAAATAGGATTAAACTTAACCTACCCACAATCATTGGCCCCAACCAAGTCAGTTTTCTGTCACGACCCAATTTTTGTTTCGGATAGTGATGGCACCCAACGCCGTTGTTAGACAAGCCAACATTAATAAATCTAGTGGTTTTCCGTTTTAAAAAAAAAGTTACTAAGTGAATGTTATTTTTCTCATCTAATCAAGGTTTAGGAGTTGCAAATAAAGCACAATTTAAGTGGAAGCAATTAAGTAAAATAGAAATCACGTAAACAAATCCAAAATCATAAGTCTACTAGCGTGTGTGCCAAGGCCTGGTGTCACAAGTATGTGGGAATCTAGTAGAATATACAAAAGAATACTAGTCTACCGTCTGAAAGGAAATAGACAGAAAATATAATACAAAGAAGACTCCAGCTGCTGCAGGACGGCTCGGAAGGCAGCTCACCGTGAAGTCTCGAAAGGGGAATCCGATCTATGCGCCAGAATGGTGACCATATGCACATGCCTCAAATCCTGTACAATCAAGTACAGAAGTGTAGTGTGAGTACATAAAAATATGTACCCAGTAAGTATCTCGTCTAACCTCGAAGAAGTAGTGACGAGGGGTCGACTCCGACACTTACTAGGGCCAACAAGATAATAATATGAAATTCCAAATTTAATTATAATGTATGTAGATGACAAGAAGCTCAAAACAAGAAATAATAACTGAAAAATCCTTTCATCATATTTAAGAATCCAAGGCACTTTCTTCATTTAAAATAAGTGGCCTTTCAAGCAACAAATTATACAAATTATAAAGAGCTCCAATTCTATTATCACACACAAATACCACCGAAGACGTTCGGACCGATCCAACATAAATGTAAATTATGCACTCCCGAGGGTCGAACGGTGCGAACCTAGATGCATCCATTTACCCCGCTCGCGAATCATACATGCGACGCGGTCAAAATATAACCCCTCTCGCGGATCATACGTGCGACGCGGTCAAGTATAATTTTATCATTTAAATCATAACTCATTCTTGATTCCTTTAAAAATGAAGACAATTCTACTTGAAGCCTTTAAATCCTTAGAAATCCTCAACTTAATTCCTTTTGTTACAATTAGCAAGTATGATCAAATAATGGTATCCACAAAATATGGTGTAAATCTAAAACTACCCGGACATAACAGGAATAGTAGCTACATACGGACTCTCGTCACTGCGTGCGTTGGATACTGACCTTCTTTCTAGCTTGTCATTGCTTTTAACCTAATGTTAGGTTTGTTACTTATTGAGTACATGGGGTCGGTTGTACTCGTAGAACACTTTTGCACCTTGTGTGTAGATTTTGGAGCTGATGTTGCTGTGTATAGTGGGAGCTAGCATTGAAGATATACTTGCATTACAGTTATACCTACCTGTTGTTCTTATTAGCTTTAGATTTATAAATCTATTTATGCATATTTCAAACGGATGATGTATTTATTTTGTACCAGGTTTGTATTTTCTAAGTCTTAGAAGCTCATGACTTGTAGTACCAATCCTCAGGTTGTTGTATAAGAGTTCAGTTATTTTATCATTTATTTCCTATTTATCTCTTTTGGATTTGGTCACTGTTAGTTGGCTTACCTAGTAGATTGGGGTTAGGTTCCATTACGACTACTTGAATTTTGGGTCGTGACAAGTTGGTATCATAGCTCTAGTTTCATAGGTTCTGCGAGTCATGAGCAAATGTCTAGTAGAGTCTTGATGACGTCCATTCCTATCTTCGAGAGGCTATAGGGCATCTAGGATAAACTTCCCATCTTTCTTTCCTTATCGTACGACATTGATTCAACTTGAAGCATATCTATTTGAATTCTTTCCACTCACTTGTATGTTATGATGGGCACTCGGTATCAGCTGTGCATTGGCGACTTGCGGTTCCATGGATGAGGTACGAGATGTCTGTTTCTGTGATTTGGTGATGGGCTAATCTGGAGGACTTGAGGCCAGGTTCTTGGGCTCAGTGGTTTCGGTTGTGTGAATCTGTGCTTTTGGACCCATACATCCGGAAGTATCCCTAGAAGTGGGATTTATGGCTTAATGAGTGGTTTGATAGCTATATAATGAATTTGAGGTGATTGCCGGATGTGTTCAGATAGCTTTGATGTGACGAGAAGGGTTGCTTGGGATGTGAAATGGACCATTGGATGCTTGATTTCTGTTTTGAGGCATTGTACAGTCTCGAGTTTATGTTCGTGTTGAGGGATCTTTCATGTTGTCCAGTTATGGGATGAAGTAGATTCTTATATCTTGTTGACGAGTTGGACTCCGGAAGATTAAATGATTGCATGGTGGTTGTGGCCATGGTAGGGCGTAAAGAAATGTCAATTTGAGGCTAAGCAGGTGGGTTATCTCCTGCGGGGTGGTCTACGGATGTGTGATCCTTATGATGTTGTGTGGAGAGTTTCTTTCTACCAGTGGATTATATGTGTTGTGATTTGAGTTTAGATCGGTTGAGAAAGTTGACCTCACTATTACGAGGATGAATGCGAGCTTAGCGGATGATTTGAGGTATTTTATGGTTTGTGTTGCATGAGCTTATGAAGGATTTAGTTGAATTTCGATGTGGGATCATGGCAATAATAGAGTATGGGTGTTGTGAGTTATCAAATGTTTTGTTCTATGGCTTTGAGCCAAGTGGGGAGTCTGCTATCGATGATTTGATTGCATGGTTACGTGTTGTACTGGTTTCGGTTTGAGGCATATTTGTGAATAAGTTATAACTTGCAGAGGTTGAGATCGAGGATGACTCGAATAAGGAAATTTCTGAATACGAGTTATATTACACTTTATGGGTATATGAAAATCATGGAATGATTTGAGTTGTTATTCGTGACAGATGTAGTGCGCATGGAACATGAATTTACTCGATTGTGTTAAGACAGGGTTACTTCTTTCGGCATTTTGTGTGCCAATGGGGCACAGGTCGCTCGCCCCGTTTGTGCGATGCAATTGAGATTTGAGCAGAGTGGATTACTCTCGAGAAGGTTCTAATGGATTCAAGATTTATATATGGCAACTGAAAATTTTCTGGATTTGTATATGGCTAGAATCTGAGATTTGCATTGGATGGTGTCAGGACTCGCAATATTTCTATATCATTGTGGATTCTACATTTCAGTATCAGAGGAACAACTTTAAATTCACAGAAGATCTCTTCAGAGACTCGGTTGTGGTACTTTTGAGGTGCTAAAGAGGGAATAATACGGCTTATGAGTCTTAGGGCGGTGTGGTTTTATGCTAGGATCTCTTGTGGTGAGCGCTGGGTTAAGGGTCGTAGTGTGGGGGAAAGGAGAATCATTAACTTCAAGGCAATTCAGAAGGGACTTGGAGAAATAGGACAGCTTGGTGGCAGATCAGATCATCTTGTTTGTCTTGTGTTGGGATGTCGCGCATGCTAGGTGACGGGCGTGTGGGCGTGTACCGTAGTAAACATGACCTGAGTTGATTTTTGTACTGAGTGGCTATTCAGTCTTGTTTTATTTGTGAATTCCAACTTGTTAGAGTAATTGTGGTGTGATTCATGCTAGAAATCATGTTTAGGCTGTGTGTTTATCTGGTTGATATCTAATGAGGTTATTTCTGGTATTTTGAGTTATCTGCTTTAACTGCAATTATATACTCAGTCATGGTTCATCATTTGCATATTATATCTCAGTCTCTATTTATCATTCACTGTTACATCACATGCTATCATTATTTGGGACTGAGTGGTACGAGATTGTGAACCCTTGAGACTTGAGAGATTGATGGCTGAGGTGGTCTTGAGAGACGTGTTGTGAGTGTTATTGTGGATCGGGTTGCACGCCACAACAGGCTATATGTAACGACCCGACCGGTCGTTTTGAGCTCTAGCGCGTCATTCGGCGGTTTGAGGCCATGAGCAGCTTCACTTAAGGTATTATGACCTGTACGCGTGGTCGGAATTGAATTTCGGGAAGTTCGGAATTGATTTGCAAAGAAAATTCTCATTTCGAAAGCTTTACGTTGGAACAATTGACTAAGGTTGGACTTTTGAGTAACGACCACGGAATTGGGATTGAAGGTTCTAGCAGGTTCGTACGATAATAAGTGTAC